AGGTGTTTTCATGTTTTTAAAAGGCTGGACTGAAATCTAACCCAGACAGCTGACTAACATCTTGAGACACAGGCAGTTTGGGTCAAACCTGGGTGACTGGCAAGTTTAATTATAGTATTTGATGACTGCTTTACAGCATTTAAGCCTCTTTGAACTTCACAATGGATGAGAGTGTTGAAAGGCTGTGAAACATGTTCAGCTAAAAATGAACAAAAAGGATGATGCTTCCAACACTCTTAGTGGTACCTGGCATTTATTTGAAGTCTGATATTGCACACAGGACTTCCACATCCATGCCTCCAGATTTCCGGTTGAAAGTACTGGATTTCTATCAGAACAATGGACAATTCTGTGGCATTTTCCTGATTTCAAGCCCCCACTCCCCTTTTCAGAGACACATTTCCTTTGCTGTTTCTTGTATGATCCAGTTCCTTGCATTAATACAAGAAAGAGAGGTGAAGAGTGAGGTAGGGCAGACACAAACTGCATCCCAAGCAGAAAAACCCCCAGCTGGCTGGAGTGAACAGCACAGAAGAAATGACAGCGGCAGCACCTGAGAGCTCAAGACCACTGAGGTCTCTGTAGGGCTTTCAAAACCTACCAGAGAAAATTTATCCCTAGTGTTGAACCAAAGGTTTCATCCTGAGATGTTCCACAAGAGTGAATGTGAAAGGTAAAAGAAAGCACCCAGAGCAGGACAGTGGCCTAACTGACTCAGCCTCAGCAAACTTTGAACATTTTGGTTTGCAAAATCTGGGGTCAGAATAAAAAATTAGTTAACATTCTTCTAGCTTTTAATAATTACATCAAAATAATTCCCGCATAATTAATTCTTCTCAAACCAAGAGAGCAGACAAAACCAGTAGCTTGAGAAAAACTTTCACAGCAGTTTGAGCCCAGCTATTTGATTTCTGCAGTCAATTAATTCTAGCGAATTCCTGAAGAAGTCACTAATTGAAAAAATAATGACAGCTAAGATAAAGCTAACAGGCAACAATGTTCAGTCTCAAAAATTGCACAGTCTTTCCAGAAAACAGTCTGGACAGTTGCAACAGCTACTGAAAGTTATTCAGCAAGGCAGGAAGCAGAAGCTTGTCACATGTCAAGACAAAACCAGCCTGTTCCTCACAGCAATGTAATGTTCAAAGCAAACACAACGCCTGCAATCTGCCAACTAAGAATTATTCAGCAAATAATTTCAAAGAGGAGATAGCATTTTCATATGAAAAAACAACAGAATGTTTCCCACTTCATAAACAGAAATCAGGGAGAAATTAAATCACCAAATTACCTGCTACAGTTTACCAGTGTAAACACAACTGTTCTGATGCTCTTTAGCAAGTACACAACTGGAAATGAGAAGCAGAATGTGGAATTGTCTCAGTAGCACGGGCAAAAAGATTTTCTTGCATTTTCTTTTGAAAGGGCAGCCAGAATACCAAGGCTCATGTTTAATCAGATGTATTGTAGGCTCAGGAGGGAGAAATGAGACACAATTACAAATTACTGAAATTGAAAGAAGTCCACCATACTTCTTGGAATTCCCTCTTAAAAAAAAAAAAAAAACAAAACCAAAAAACAGTGTTATCTCCTGAGTCAGAAATTACTAGAAGAACATGTAATAGAGATAGATGGCACACATGAGCTTTAGGGGTCTGTATTAAATATACCATGGATATCCACTTCTGTTCTGTGATTAACAATTGTTTTTTAAACTCGCTCTCATCACTATCTACAAGGAGATGGGGTGTTGGAGTAGCCACCAGGAACACGTGACAGCTATTGCAAATTAGAAATGCAGAAACAATTTTCTCAGGCCACATATTCCAGCTTTGATGGCTTTTTCTTCATCAGCAAGAATTCTGGGCTTGCTTCTCTCAGCTTTCTCCAATGCTACACAGAGGGTGTCAGAACAGGGAAAAGAGGCAGGGCACAGAACATTACAGGAGCTACCTACCATCCACAGGGAGAAATCCCTTTTACCACAGTGTAGCATACAAAGGAGCTACACTTGACAGCAAGCTCCACATATAATGTTTTGAGCTCAAAATCCTCTAAAAGAAATGAAGGACTAGAAAATTCATGGTGAGACATCCTCAGAGTGAGTAGATTTGGACAGAAAACATGATACAGCAGTGACAATGAGTTTAAAAGATTATTACAGAACAGTGGATATCTATGGAGCACTGAAGGAATGGTACAGTCCTGTAAACAAAATGGTGCATAGGAAATGAAATGGATTTTGTAATGTAATATTCACTAAATCATGGCCAGTGATGAGCAAAACCTACAGTGCATACAGGCACTGAGCAGTTGTGGTGGCTCAGTGAATGAAAATCTGAGTCATTTCTGGATTAACACTCTAACAATAGTGCCAGGGGACACTGTGTTGCTGCAGATATCATTATTTCCCTGAGATATTTTGTCATCCATATCCCACACTACATTCCAGAAGATGACAATTACCCTATTCCAAAGAGGACAAAATCAAAAAGCCAGCTTTCAGCTTGACCCTAGAGGGGTGTGATAGGGAATAAAATATATCTGGTGTACCTTTGAGCAGAATTCTTCCCAAGCACAGGGGTGGAGGAGTTGAGGGGCCATCTCCCCAGTGCCTGCTCCACCAGCTGAGGAGAGAGGAGAAACATGAGGAAGGGGAAAGGTTCCACACTCCTCTTCTCACATGCCAGATTGCACATAAGGAGTAGAGGACTAATAATCTGTTTATTTTTGAAAGCAGGAAAGGCAGATTGGGTATGCATTGATATATGGTCTGCAGCAGTATAAAAGTTCTTCCACCTTCCCCTGTTCAGCTGTGTGCACATGTATTCCAGTCAGCTCCTGTTTAGAAAGAGACAATAACAAGAAATTAGAGAATACCAATAAAAGGCAAGGAAAAAGCACAACACCTGCCTCTTGTAAAAACTCATGAAAGTTTTCCTAAGACACAGCGTGCAAGACATGATGTTTGACTTAAATTTCTATGAAATAAATACATCCTGTCTACCTAAAATTCATTTCTCGTTTTGATTTGAATAGTTCATCATGCCTGGTTTCCTCTTAGTGCAATGAAGATTATTCTACTTAAACAGAATTTTTATGTGGTAAAATTAATTTCAGAAATGTTCTGATGTACGTAAGTCTCTCTGGTTTCCAAGAAGAACCCCGTGGCTTTCCCCCATGGCCTAAATCTCCTGCAGAGCACTGGAACCATAATCCTTTCTGGCTCTTCCAGCCCAAAATACTGCAACTCTCCTCAAGCACAGCAGCTCCTCCTGGGAGCTTCACTGTGGAACATTTGGGAAAGATACCTGAGGATGTGGAAGAATGACAGCTGCAGAGTAGGGGAAGGGGTTTTCAGGCGAGGGAGATGGTGATTTATCCCAAAGAGTTATCCTGCAGCCCTCATTGACCATTAGTATCTCAGCATCACAAAGGCAGACAACCATAGCATCTGTAATGCTTTCAGAAACTACTATCCTAAATGATCCATTTACACATCTTTGCCTAAATATGATCCCAGGACATGTACTGAAGTTACCATTTCCAACTGGACCGTCTATCTTTCCTATCCAGAAAAATCTTTCCTATCAAGAAAAATCAGATACAATGTGGAAGAGGAAAGAAGTGCCAGCACTGTGTTAACTATCACAGCATGCAGATGCTATCACTGCCAGCCAAAAACTGAGCAAAAATGAGGTATTTATTAAAATTGTGTACAGAGATGACATGAGCTGGGCTCAGGCTAATGACTGTGTGTAGACTGGTGATATCCCCTTTTGGGATCCTGGACAATAACTTACTTGGCATTGGTTGTTTTGGGTAGCATCATACTTTACTCTCCCTAATGGCCTTCAGCTTTAAGTTTCTTATTTCCTGTAGGTCTCAGCTGTATGGGAATGTCTCCCAAGGTTTCTTTGCTCAGTAACTTGTGAGCCATGGACTGGGGACTCATGCGTGAGAGGTGGTGGGTGAAGTATTGTCTGACCTGGCTGCTGGTTTCCCTGCTTTTTATGGTTTGCAAGGATGGGATACAACTTACAACTCTATACAAATCTTTTTTTTTTTTTTTTTTTTTTTTTTTTTCTGGTAGAAATGGTGTTAATACCCATGACTCCACTTACAGATGTGCATGTAAACACGTGCAGTCTCCAGGTGTACCATAAGCAAAATTATGTGTCCTCAAAACATCTTGTATAATATTTTTATTAATATTTTTATATTTTGTAATTTTCACTCTCTCATTTAAATCCAACAAATTTTTACAAGGAGGGTGGATGGGGCTGAAAAATAAAGACGTTCCCGAAGCGGATGGCAGCAGGATGGGTTCCAGAGCAGCACCACTCCCGGCTGGCTCCCTGGCCACCCCCGAGCCCCTAATATTGAATATAAATAACAACAATAGACGCCTTTAGCCAAGTGCTCTCCTCTCCACAGCTCCTGCAGAGCTCTCTGCCCGATCTAGAAACAAAAATAGCGAAGAATTAATTAACGGGACGGGGCTCTCAGCCGGGAGGGGGCCCCGGGAGCCCAGCGCCCCGTCACGCCCGGGGGAGCCGCGGCCTCTCCGGCCCTGCCCGCGGGCAGCGGGGGTGCTCGGGGCGCTGGGCAGCGCTGCCCGGGCGGCCGGGGAACGGCGGCGAATGGAAGAGAGGGAGGGGGCGAACCCTGCCCTCTGCCCTCTGCCCGCCGCCGCCCGCAGCATGGGGAAGGCGGAAGCGGCGGAGCCGGCCCGTCAGGCCGGGCGGCGGCGGGGGGGCAGCGCGGCGAGAGGCTGAGGCGGCCGCGGCGGGGACGGGCGGACTGACGGAGGCAGGGAGGGCAGCCCGGCACCGAGCCCCCCGCCGGCACCGAACCGCCGCCGGCACCGAGCCCGGACGAGCAGGGAGAGGCCGCCGCCGGCCTGCGGGGCTCCGCGGCGGAGCGGCCCTGCCCGGGGGATGCCCTGGGGGCGGCGCG